ACTCCGCTGCATTTGGCTACTAAGAATAATAACATTTCCGTTATCAAAAGTTTATTGTTTCTACAGCCTAATGTTGCCTACGAACAAAATAATGTAATAACTACGGCATTGATTTACAAATGTTGGTATGATTACTTAATGCTTATACTTTTGTGTATGTTTACAGAATGGAGATATACCAATGCATATAGCATGTCGTTATGGTTACTTAGAATGTGTGATGAAATTAGTGGAACACAATGTTACAATGGATATGGTTAATGAAAATTTGGATACACCTCTACTGGTTGCCATAAAAGAAAAACATGAAAATGTTGCGATATATTTACTTCATAACGCACCCGGAAATTTAGAAATTTTTAATAATGTAAATACATTTTTTGATCATTTTAATAAAAGATGAATTAACATAAGTTTTAACTTTAGGAAGGCAATGCTCCTATTCATGTTGCTGTACAAGAAGGTTTATTAAATGTTGTTGAAACAATAATAAATATGGGCCATAGTTATGAATTTCCTAATGATAGAGGATTGTATCCATTGCATATAGCTACTAGACATGGACATATTGAAATTGTTAGGTAAACATTCTATTTCAACTACTCTTGTAGCAATATCAATAAAATATAATTTGATTCAAAGGTCCCTATATTTAAATTTTGTTTTAGGTATTTATGCATTGCAGGAAGTGATCCTCAGCAACGTAGTGCAGACAATATTAAACCAGAAATTACTGCTATTAAAAATAATCAAAAAGAAATATTATCAATATTTACCAAATTGAATACTGTTAGCTTATATTTTAAAGTTTTATTTTATTTTTGTTGACATTTTTACTGTTATATTATTTTATTTTTACAGAATAGTGCAAGAGAAAATTATATTCAACAACTAGTTGTTAGCCATGATTACATACAAAACACAAATTTGTTGTTTTTTGGACATTCCAACGCTGGCAAGTCATCAATTATACGATTGATGAAACTAGGTCTATTTTCAATACTTCTTGACAAATCACGAAATACATTGAGAACAATTAATACCAACAGTAAGTGCTCATTAAATTAATTATAATTTTATGACTACTCTACTAATAGGCATTTTAAACAGGAATTAATACCCCTCAGGATCAGTGCAATAATGGAAATGAAATAAGTCTTACAGAATATAATACTACAAACACTTCAAATTACTATAATCATGATGGTACTAAGGGTATAGCAGTTCAAAAGGTATAAAACAAAACATATTTGTTTCTTTTTTTTATCAAAGCATCAAGTAATTACGGTTAAACATATTAACTCATTTTTAGGAAAAATTATCGGGTATTAACGAATGTACATTTTGGGACTTCTCTGGAGAAGATACATACTATAATTCTTATCATCATGTAATTCAAAATACACCAAACAAAGTAGTTGTTATTGTTTATAATGAGCAACAGTCTTCGGCAGAAATTTTGAAGACTGTACGTTATTGGCTTAGTTTTATTCAAGCAAGACTTCAGATTACAGAACCAATAAGTTTGTAGTATAAAAAAATAATCTTTCTAATTATACTAAAATTAGTACATTATCATTTTTAGGCAAGAACGGTATTTCAAATCATCTAGTGCCAGTGATAATAGTTGCTACGCACAATGGCCAGAAAATATGTCGTCAACCTGACCAATTGATTAAAACTATGAAAGAAGAGTATGGACATGTGTTTCAAATATATGAAAAATTAGTACTATTTGATATAATGGCAGTCGATTCATTAAGTGTGAAGAATTTTAAAGAAGCAATTAGTATGAGTAAAAAACGACTTCATTTTGTAAGTAATCCTTTTAAGTTAATATTATATTATTAATATATTTATATTAAAAGTAAAAAGATAGAATAATATGTAACTTAACATAATATTTTGCACACCATGATTATTTATTGTTAAAACAAAATGGTTAAATTTAAGTTTTCTATCAGGGATACTATCGAGGTGACATCATTTGCGGTACAAACAGTAATGGCAGGTTAAATAAGCTGTCATTCTTCGCTCGTGGTGGTTATAAGTTACTTGATGACCCACCTAGGGAAAACTATTTTAACACTAAGTCTTCAGTTTCAACAATTGAGGTTTAAATTATGTTTAATAGTGCACAGTTTTTTTATATGATTTGTTGAATATTAATGACGTGCACTTCTTGGAATTTCACTGTGTGGAATTTAATTTCAATAGCACAAACGTGTGTTACAAAACATACATAAGTTATTGTATTTTATTGTATTGTTTTGGGGCTTTCACAATAATTTATTACTTAAAGTTGTTATATAGGTATTATTAACATAATACTTAATTTTTTGAGCATTGCTGTTGGTCATTAAATTATCTGTGTATTCAAAAAGTTTTTAATTTTAATTTTATTAAATATTTCAGAACATTCCTAGAATGAGTGGTTTTTGTGAAGCTGTACAAAACTTTTTACCTAAACTAAGAAAAATTGCAAATCCGTTTCCGGTTTTGTCTTGGAAAACGTTTTGTGATACTATTCATCTTGAAGTAAATCCATTGGCTACTATTCAACATTTAAATATATTGCTTATCCAGCTACAAAACCTCGGTGAAGTATGTTAACTCAATATCAATTAAAATTCATAAATTAAAATGATTGTTTATTATTTGTTTCCAGATTTTATTCTTAAAATCTGGATTACAACCAGATTTGATTGTTATATCTCCAAATTGGTTTGGATCTAGTATAATAGGTACACTGTTTTCAGTAGACTTTTTGATCAGTCAGACACGTATGTCTGGTTCGTATCAAGCAAATGATTTTCAAATCATGTTTCCTCATTACGATGCCATGTCAGTTCTTCAACTTTTAGAAACAATGAAAATTTGTGTTCAAGTATGTCAAATTGTTTTTAATTTTTAACTTAACTCTCCGTTGGTACACATGTTAGAATTCTACGCACACAGATAATATTTTGAACGTTATTCATAGAAATACCATCAAATTAGTCTGATACTTTTATACTTTAAAATAATATGTCAATAAATACTTAAATAAATAAATGATAGCGCTATTTGTATTTCTCGAATAGTTATCATTTGACAAAATTAATCTTACCAATCAAGTGAACATTGCACTTTCACTGTACTATTTTTATAATATTATTTGTAAAAGAATTTTTTTGGCATACATTTCTATTTTTTTAAATTTTATTTGATAAATTATTAAACTACATAAAAAGTATACTATAATTTTTTCTAAAAGATAGAAATATACATATTTTTATGTACTATTCAATTCAAAAGTTGATCCAACAATTATTAATATTATAAAAAAATTAAGTATGAGTGCAGTGTTCAAATTGTAACAACTATGTTCCAAATCCATGATTACCAACTATGGATTAGTATCTTGATAAAATATAACTAAAACTACAAAATAAGTCTAAAATTATTAAGTCTTGTATCTTACAACTTTAAATCTATTATTCTAGTATGATAATGACGGGGACATTGAATATGAATTCCCAGCATATATCATAAGAGAAAAAGATGAAACTTTGTGGAAACCATGGGGTGATAAAGTCGACTGTTGTTACGGTGGAATTCGGCTTATTTCTCAACCGCAATTTCTTGAACTTTTTACATCAATTTTTATTAGAGTACAGGTAATAAAAATTAATTAATTTTTATCCATATTATTAGTACAAATCTACAAATATTGAATTTAGGTTGAATTACGATACTTGCAAAACAATTATTATGAAGATATGGACAGTTACTTGTATCAATGGTATGGCGGTACTGTGTTATGTATAAGCAATATAGAATGCATGGTATCTCTAGAACAAGATGGTTGTATTGAAATAAAAATTCGAGGTTCTAAATCGTCAAGTTACACATGTTTTTATTTTTTAGAAGAAATATTGCATTCCATTAATCTAGTAAAAACATTAAATATTTAATTATTTTTAATATTTATTGTACAGTTTATGTACAATTATTATTATTATTACAAAATAGTAAATTAAAACTTTAAACTATAGGTATTAATTGAAACATGTCCAGGGATGAAAGTAATTAAAGAATTTCTTAGTCCCTCAAATTTATCTGAACATTATGTACAGCCTCATGGTTATGGTGTTGACGATATATTCTATGCAGTACGAAAAACTTCTGATTTTAAATCATTAGTTGTTAATCCATTAACCGGAAATAAGGAATGTGTATTGGATTTAATTGCATTTGGATGTGACCAGGTAAATATTTATTCCATTCATAATACCTGACTATATGCTTATTCTTGCATCATATTCATACATTTTATTATCCAATTAAGGTAGAAAACATGTTATCTTGTACGGATAGTTTACCACTAACAGAATTGAATACCATGTGTCGTCAAGAATTAAGTCGTCTCATTGATCCAGTACACCCATTGGGAAGAGATTGGGCATTATTTGCTCTCAACGTTGGATTAGATTCTAAAGTTCAATTATTTGATAATGGACCAACTAGTCCTTTTCTAGCACTGATAGATACATGGGCAACAGTTCAACCTGCCCCAACAATAGGTAAAACTTAACATAACCCTTAATATTGTATTTAAATTACATTTTATTAATCACCTTTCTAGGCACATTAGTTGATCAATTAAATGAATTAGGGCGTGAAGAAGTAGCTCTAATCGTATTACAAAACATTCAATGTTTCAGAATAAATGTCATGGATATAAACAACTGTTCTGTAACTTTGAATCGGTTATAAAATTATGTTTAAAATAATTTAATGTTATTAAGTTTTGGATGTACTAAGCACCAAGTTTATATTATTATTTCTAGTCAATTAACTTAAAAAGAAAAAGTGTGAATTTATATGAAAGCAATTATTTCTCCTAAATGTAATTTAGCACCTTTGTTTTGTATAGAAAAAATTATTACAATAACACATATTTTTTTTTTTTTTTTTAATGAATTTTATTTGTATTTCAAACAATGTGTGATATGAATTTATTTTTAAAATGCACTAGTGTAGTGCGAATACTAATTTTAGTTTTTTACACCTAATTGATTTAATAATAAACATTGGACTGAGAAGAGGAGCTAATGTATGACCTTATTTTATTGACTAACTTGAATATTTAGAATACTTATTCTAATGATTGTAGTTCTTCACTGTAAAATAATTGAAGAATCATTAATTAGGTGATTTCCAATTGGGAAATGATAATTTGTCATCTGGATCTCTTTGATACCTTGTGACATAAGGAAGTCCATGTTCACCACAAGAATCGTAATTGTCAAAGTATTGTAAATTCAAATAACTATCTGGATATTCCGGTAAAAAATATACCCAACAATCAGTAATATCTCCATTCGGTAATTTAACTTGAGTCTTTTGTCGCTTATAAAAATTTGGATGATTTTCAAAATCGTCCAAGTATTTCAGCATAGTTGCGTCAATGTCATATATTTCACCTTTAATTTCCTAAAACGATATGCCACATGTTTAGTAAAGAATTGAATGTTATTACAATATACATAATATTGTATACAAAATCACTTACATGTCCCATGCCTTCTTTTTGTAACAAAAATGGTATATTAAATTTAGTGGAAATAACTAAAGGATATTTATTGACTGTAACGGCGACTGTTCTAAATACAGCACAGCCGTTTTTAGTGTCATTGAGATGGTAATAATTAGGCTGATTTTGTTTCAATGTTCCATAAACAAAAACTGGTTCCATTTTAAACTGAAATAGATATTATGTTGTGTAGAACAAAACATTCACTTGTAAGTAATAAATAATACTAAGTATACTCTATTTTATAAGAAGTGACCAGGACAGTTAATGACTTATTGGTGACGCACAGATTACACACAACAGTTACCATTACTTTATCTACAACTCATAGCCAACACAGAATATGATACTACATTCAACTGTCCAGGTTGCATCTCATTTTGAATAGAATATAGACAAATAAACAAATTAAAACTTGTTATTCTACATAATTGAATACTACAACATGATTAGAATTAACAATAATTTATTATTATCCATGCATATAAAACAAAAACAGATGATGACAACTTACATAACATCAGATTTGATGATTGAATGCGTTTCAATTTTCAAGTAAATAGCAATGTTTGAAATTTAAGGTAACTTTATTATTATCAGTTCTACTAGCAGTTTATTATAATTATGAAATTTCAATTAAGTTGAAAATATTCTTTTATATTATATTCATATCGCTTAATTATTGATATTATAATAACTCAAATGATAATAGGCATGTTAGCAATTTATCATATATTATTATACTATTACTACTCACCTAACCTAGACACCTAATTAATAATAAAAATATAAATGATAAAAAGCATTATTTAATAAATACTGTTTAACATTTCAGTAATTATACACTAATTAGTTAAACTTGATGCTAACTTCTCAGAATTAACTACTATATATGAACTAAATAATAATTGAAATAAAAAATCCAGTGATTATGAGCAAAAAATAAATGTATGGTTATATTTTATGAAATGCTATTTTTTGTTAAATTAATATTTTAAAATTAAATCATTATCCATATTATAATATTTAATACATTATAAACATTAAAAATTATTGTTTTTAAATACTACAATAAGCCTTGTCGCTTGAGATCTTCATAAGTCTTCTTTGTGACTACATTTCCTTGAGAATCTTCAAATTCTTCTTCATTCTCTGGTTGCCACCGCTCATCATGTTTCATTGTTTTTAATTTTTCCCAAAGTGCAAGTGCATCTTCAATTTGTGTGACATTAGCAAAATGTGCAGTATTTGGTATACCTAAACATCTCATGCCATGTGCATGTCTCCATTCAGCAAAATGTCGTTGAAATGCTTTGGGACCCTTATATGTAAAATTACCACAAATTTCACAGTTATAGCTAATATTTAATCCATGTAACTTATATAACCAATATGGAATTGGCTTTCCATCCCAACCAAGAGGTAAGTTTTTTGGATTATAAGGGATATCTTCTCCTTGCTCATCATCAGACTCTGATGCACTTGCCTCATTTTCTGAATCATCGCGTTCTCCTTCAGTTCGAGCTTGTCTTCTTTGAACATTCTCTTTAGTTGCTAATCTCTGTTCAGCTAAGAGTTCGCAGAACCTATATACTTGTGCCTCAAGCATTGCTAATTCTTTTTGCCTTTCTTGTTCCTTAGTGCGGTTCATTTTTCCTGGCCTACCTTTAGCTAACAAAGATGGATCCAATGAAGTTTTGCCTTTAGTAGAAAATAATCGTTGAGCTCTTTCTTCCAGAGTGCCACCACATTTTAATCCTAAAGCCATTAAAGCTGATTTCAAACGATCAAGTCCAAGAGAAGCTAATTCTTCCCAAGATGAAAATGCATACAAATCTAAATGTGCTCCAACATTGGCCAAAGCACTACTTGTGTCTTTCGGCCAACCTGGAAAAGTACCTTCTTCCCATTGATTTATAAACTCAATTCGAACTGCATCCATTTCATTGTCAATATCGTGTAAAGGTTTTATTCGTAAATAATAACCATGTAAGTATTCTAATAAAATATCTACATATTTTCTATATTCTGAATTTTTACGATCTTTAGGAATATCAAACAAATGATCAAATATGGATAGGTAAGTGATGTAATCAACTTTTTCAACTCCTTTTAAATTCACATACCTTTCATAGCATTCATGTAAATCCAAGTATCTTCCATAGCCTTCTTCATCAGTAAAATCTACCATGTTGGTCATTTCCTCTGAAGGATTCTCACGGAGGTTATTTAAATCTTCAAACTCAACAGATAATGGCACAGATATTTCATTTGGATGTTTCTTATGAAACTCTTTAATGCCTTTTAAACGAAAATAAAATTCAGCAAACTCATTTGGACCAGAAATTGATGTAATTTCCTCTTTGCGTAAACCATCTTTATCTTCATAAAGCTCTTTTAGTTTATTAGTTCCTTCCATGTATTGATCAAGCAATAATTTTTGTCGGTGTTCAGAATTAATTACATCTCTGGTCGTAGATTTCTTCCACAGCATCTCTTTAACCATAGTATCAACTAACCGTTCTCGTTCTTCATGGTAACGACGTTGCTGTTCTATTAAAGTGTCCATTTCACTTCTAATATAATAACAATGGAATAAAATTCGTGATTTACTTAGATCTTTTACTTATGAATACGAATATATAATAACAATAAATAAATAATACTCACTACTCACACTCTTGACACGCAGACGCACAAATGTTTATAAACGCCGGGTCGATTCCGGAACTCGGGAACTCGAATTATCAATAATCAGAAATTACCAAACTGGGAGACAATCTTAAACTGTTGTCTGTCACTAATCACTTAATGTTGTATAAATGTATAATACATTAGTGTGTAGTTAAGTTTAAACTGTTTAAAGTGACGAAATATGAAATGAATAGGTATGATGACAACAAAGTGAATTTCGTTCAGTACCGAACATAACAATTAAAAGGGTGGGAGAATTTTAATCAGCGTATATTTTCATATGACGTAAATATATCAACAACCAATGAAACGCGGCGGAAGAGTATCACCCATTCACCAATTTTGGACGTTTGCGTATCACCAAGTTACGATCATACCTATATTTTTGCCCGTGATAGTGTCAACAATTAAAATAAGTGTAGAACTATAGAAAACTAAATTAATAGCACGTACAACGGGGCAATATTGAATATTTAATTATATTCTCAACTCTTAAGTCAATAATAATTAATAATTAATAAATAAATCCAATTTTACTAGTAAGTAAAATTGTTAAAAATGTTTAAATTGAGGTTATCATCTTATGATACAGTGTGACCAAACAAAATAAACGATACCTACAGTTTTTTATTTACACCAGAACAATATCTGTGGTTCCACAAAATATCAGTTCTAAAGTGAATATATATATCCATCTTGATCAGTTCATTCAGTTCCAACGGTATTTTGTTCCAAAAAAAAAACAAAATAACTTTTTGGCATTAGAGCAAAATATGTCGTATGAGAGTCTGATTGTAATAAATTATAAAATCACGTTTTTTTTTTTTTTTTATCAAAATGTACTTAAATGACTAAATTTAAAAAAAAAATATTTAAGAATAACTTAATGTAATATTTTAGTAACAATTTTAAAAGTAATTCATTATGTAATAAAGCTAGGTGTCTGAATTTGAATTTCTGTTTGGAATAATTTCGTTATTAAATTTTATTTTAAATTTCAAATCTAGATGAAGTCGATCATTTTTTTTTATTTGTCTAACTTAAATTTATTGTAGCATTGTTTATTTTAATAAAAATATATATTATGAATGTATTCATTTTAATGATTTAATTTTAATCCAACAACTTAGCGCTACTTTAATACAATTATAGAATGCATCATATAATTATATTAGGTAGGTACAATAGGTACCCAATAATATACAATATGAGGAATATATTATACAAGCATTACAAGCAGTTTTATACGATTGAGCTCCTTATTATAGTATTATTGGTATTATCGTCACAATTCATTAGAATACATTATAACTTATAACGTTCCCAGCACGTGACACCCATCGGCTCGAGGCTTAGGCGTAATTATATTTACAACGCAATGTGTAAATAACACTTTATATATTTTACAATCCACTCCACTTTAATAACACAGATGCTCGATTTCACTCAAGGAATAGACGAATCAGTTAAAATGTAAGAAAACAGAGAAACAGACGGAGTGAAAGCGAGAAGAGAAGTAGATGCGCGCGTGTTGCACTCACTAGCGTTGTAAGCAAGCGTTACATCAGTTTTCGTATGTTTAGGAATATTGTATTTGTATATATGTATATACATAATACATCTATACCATTATAATCTAAAAATATTGTAAAACTCAAATCAAAAGGAAACTTGTTAACGTATTGATTATTTAAGATTTGAAAACCATAATTATAATTATCTATCCGTCGGTATAAAAAATATGGATGAATATTACTATAACATTTATTTGTTTTAACGTAGTAATGAAGTACTTACATTAGTTGTTAAGTTTGTCACAAACTATTTGTCCAGGGCTGACTAGAATTTATACACGACGTATTTGGTTTTTCGATAGGTACATTTAAAAAAGTCAATAAATAATTACAGCATTGACTTAATATTGGCTATTCAGTATTAATATTTTTGGTTCATCTAGCATAATACTAACAAAATTTATATTTTATTATGTTATATATTATAAATTTTAATGCATCATATGTATAGTTAATTTAGGTTTAATAGTTTGAAGTAACATATTTAATCTATTAAATAATGTAAAGAGTTGCTTGATGAATTTATACTCTCAACCCATATACTTCGAAATTACAATATTAACTATTTATATATTTTGACAAGTAAGTGATTTCCAAAATAAACTGCACTTTCAAAAATAAACTTCAAATTGTAGGTAATTGTATAAAATATAAATCGACACTAAAATTTATCAAATTTATCTATATTTAAAATGTGCATGTGATGCATTTAAATTTTACACTAAGATACTAATAGGTACTCTACTACTCCAGATTTTACGGTTAATATAATATAATATATATATATATAAGTATAATATAATACAAACTGTGACTCTGGGCGGCATCCCAACGCCATTACGGATCTTAGACCATGCTGTCTGTTGTTGTAATACTGTTCGCTGTTAACCACTATATTTTTTCACACATATTATAGAAGTCTTGTCGGAAATCTGTTTTAAATGCCGTTCAGATTGGTGACACTTAACATTAGCTAAACGCTCATAATCTATTGTTTTTACTAAATAAACGGATAAGCTAACGTTTTCATTCGAGGTAAACAAATTTTATTTCGGTTATATTTAAACAGTCGCAGTGGCGAGACAATAACGGCATACTGTGCGTTTACGATATCGAAAAATCCCAAAAATCGTCTAGCCGGTATTAGCGGTGTTTTATTAAAAATATGTAATTCAATGTTTAAGAACTTTCGTGACAAACTCACCGGTCTTGCCGGGTATAAACCGACATCCGCAGATTAAAACTATTAATAAATTCGTCAGACCAAACCGACGTGAAAAGAAAAATGAACCAGGATAATGAACTATATCGATGAAACGGTGAAGATGTTTTTGTTTAGTTGTCAATCA